ATTTTAGTAAACATAATTTGATTTTTTGACTTTTAAGATATAAATTTTTAAAAAAAATTTAACATATTATATAAATAATAATTAAATTTTTTTGATCAAATAACAACAGTGAACAAAAATTATTTATAGAGAAAAAATTTCAATTATTGTTTATATAAAATATTAAATTTTTATCTAAAATTTATATACTAAAACTAAAAAATCAAACTAAATTTAATAAAAACGAATGGAGAAAGTGTGTATATATATATATGCACTTACCGCCCAAATAAAAAAAATGTGCACTTACGACTTCAAGTATGTCTTTGAAATTTCACCTTCAATAAAAATAATGGTGAACTACTTTTCAATCTTAACCTTTCTGACATGGGACAATTTGGTCCAAAATTCTCATTTCATGCTACTAATAGTCCTAAACCTCTTGGAAAAGGTACACTATTAGTTAATTCTGTGAAGATGGGTGTTAAATCTTTATTCAGATTGATGAAGTGGTGAATAGTGAGACCAATTGTCTTTGTCGGTAGGATCACCATTAGACATGGAGGAAAAAAAAAAACATAAGTTTTTTTTTTCTTATTTAAAGAGTTTAATAAAGGTTTATCATTTGCAACATTGTCATTTACAATTAAATTTAATGCCAAGTTAAAGGAAAGGTTAATAGTGGACATTTTTCAAAAGGTTGATAGTTACTGGTGGTAGATAAAGAAGGTTAGGGAAGAAATTGTCCTATGTTAGAAAGGTTGGGGACAAAATATTGAGGAGTTCATGGCACATTTTCAAACTATTAGTGTCAAATATACATTTTTATGATTTAAGAGTACCGACCCCAAACCATAAAGTTGGTAATCGCAATTTCCACAATAATTAAATTCTGAGCACGGGATTCGTGTGGAAGAGCACGAGAGAACAAAGCACGCGGCCAAACTCGAGGTTATAAGTTGAAACCACACAGTCCGCCTAACTCTCAATCTCAACCCTTGCAATAGATTCCGGAATCGTCAAACTTGTCGCTCTGTCAGAAAAAGCCTCAAGCAACGCCGGAGAAAGAGCCCCTTACAGGGACAGCCATGGAACAGAGACTAATCACGCTCTCAGGCACAAGCAGACTCCCAGAGTACCAGCCTTAGCAAGCGGAAGCGGCGGAAGTGAGACATAAAGGACCGTCAACACTAGTTTAATAGATATTTTGTTCATTATTTGAACTTAATTTATATCTCTAATATAAAAATTTTAAGTGGAAACTGTGGTGCCATTCTTATCACACACAACGGAGTAAGTCATTCATATTTAGGATTAAAAGTATCAAAACATCATCTTTGATGAGATTTTTCATGTAGACAGTCTTGATTGATGAGATGAAAGCAAATCCTTGTATCCATTCAGTCAATCTTTGAAATTAGGGCATAGGGGATGGGCATTATGTAAGCTTAAAGACAATGCCCTGTTATAGAGGAATGGTAAAAGGGCAGAGGGACAAGTTACCCTGATATGGGGTGATGGGGGTCTATAACAAAAGTGGCCAATTCCTTTATAGTCGGCCATTAATTTAGGGTGGGACCAAAGTCTTCACCTAACCACAAAGAAAACATGACATACCATAATATCTTCTTTATTTCTTCTTTTTCTTTTCTTGGCATTGTCAAAGAGGGAGGGAACTCTCCTCATCTCAAGCCCTTTTCTTTATCACTAATACCCATTAGACCCCATCCCTTAAAGCTATTTTGCCCAAAGCTTTTCAACTTTTTGCTTCTAACATTACTACTATATACTAGTGGAAGCATCTGATTTCGTCATATCCTTCTTTCCTTTCTCTTCTTTTTCTCTTGTTTTCCCTCTCTCCGCTCCCACCTTTGACGCGAACAGAAACCCAACGGCTCATTCAGACTCATAGGATTTTGCGTTCAATTGTTCATGTTTCTTCCTTCCTCTCACCACCTTTTCCCATCTCAAATCAAATAAACCCAACCAAACCCATTTCCCCGTCGGATAAAAAATAGGAAAACCATCTAAACCCATTTCCCCTTCTCCTCTTTCCTTTCCCTTCCTCTGTTTTCTCTCTAGGTAACTTCCCAAGATGATGATGCAATGTAGAAGGCAAGTTATAATTCTGCTTCTTTGGCTGTTCTTCTTTCTCACTTTCATTGGGGGTCACTTCTGCCATGGATCAAGAACAAAAAATGTCTTCAAAATCAAGCCAAATTCTCAGTATACAGGGCACTTCTTGGGGTTTTTGCCTAGACATTTCCCAATTCCAGCATCTGGCCCTTCAAGAAAACACAATGACCTTGGCTTACAAAGTTGGAGATCGCCATAAAGATCATAACTAGTGAGCTCCTGGACATGAGGTGATCTACTTTATTTTTTTTCTCCCTTTTTTTTAAAACAATGAGTTGGTGGGTACTGTATATGTAGTTGTTGGGTACGTAAATTCTTTTTGGAAGCTTGGTAATTTTCTTTGTTTTGAAAAGAAAATGTATGTTTCTCCCTATATGCTCAAAGGAGAACTGGTTGGTTTAATCTAGACTCTTTTCTTCCATCTTTTGGGTGTGCATCAGATTATTTAGAAGGAAAAACTCTAATAGCTTCCTAGAACTGAAGTTTCTAATTAGTTGATTTCTGTATCATGACATTCTCTGTTCTCAAGAGAAATCCTACTCCTATGTACAAACTGAGATATGATACGTGCAGACTAGACTGTATAAAACTCTCTTCTTGATCTTTTGATTTCATTATTGAAAGGCTCCATAATAGATACCACTAAGGAAGCCTTGACCATGTTTCTTACCAATCCATAAGCTCTCTTGGTCTGATTTTGCAAAATTTGTATTTTTTAGTTCGTATATGCCTGATTATCTGCTTCCCAAAATTCCTTCACAAGGTTCAAACATTGAACTTTTGGAGTACCATCTTCTTTCCCCCTTTTTTTTGGCCCTTTGGAATACTATTTTTTGCCGATCACCGACTTGCTTGTTCTGTGTGCGGTTCATCTGCTCATTAATTTTTTTTTTTTTTAAACATCAGATGAAGAGTTACAAAATGGGATAATCTTCACTAATCTCCCACTAAATCTGAGGTTTTAATATAAAGACTGAATCTTAATCTCCGGTGAGACAATCTGTTGATTGATTAATATGCATTTAAAAAAAAATTTATCCCATAAAAAAACAGATAATTTTGTTGAGAATAATAAAGATAATTGAATTTTCTTTCTTGGCCAGAATAAAGATAATTGAATTTATTTATTTCTCTTTTTTGAGAACAAATGAATTTATTTAGTTTTTTTGTGACTTAAAAAAACGGTAATTGCTTTGGCATACATTTGGAGTGTAGACGAAATTTAATTAAAGCGGTCTCATCAAGTGAACTATATATGTCCCTTGCTTTTATAAAAAGTAAAGGGGTAGCTTGCATGGACTTCTTTATGGCGCCATTTGGTACAGGTAAGGTGGTGGTGATGGTGATGGTGATACTAGAAAGATTTGATGTTACACTTTCATCGTCTTGACCGGAAAAATGTCTGTACGTATGTATTTATTTATTTATATTAACTATATATTTTGTACAGAAGCACAGGTAATTAGTGTGCATTTTCCCTCTATTAATAGAAAACGTGTTTGGTTAGTTTATTAACTAATGCATGTGTGCAATTATTTGACATAGATCAATACACAGGGTTTTTTTTATGGAATTTTTTATTTTTTTAACAGTAGATCAATAGAAAGAGTTATTTAATTAATAGAAAAAGTGTTTGGTTAGTTTATTAACTAATGCATGTGTGCAATTATCTGCTATGGATCAATACAAAGATTTTTTTTTTTTAACAGCAGATCAATATAGAAAGTTATTTAATTTAAAAAGTTTATTTTTTCATGAAAATTTATTATGTAATTTAAATTATATTAAATTACACAATAAAAATTATTAAAAAAAAAACTCTTAATATTAAAGGATTGTAAAATAAGGAACACTTTCTCTTAAATCAAAAATTCTATTTGAAATTACACTCTAAGAATTATGTCACACCAGATAGATATTATGTGGCTAAAAAGTTATATTTTAATGCATGATTAACATCATATCCACTACTTACTTGCCAACCACATGGAGGGCAAGTGGCAAAAGCCACATTGCTCTTGTGCCTAGTGGATTGGTGCTGGGGGTGTGGGGTTGGAGCTTCACCCTACAATTGTAATCTCATTCCTCGCCATCCCCCGCAATTACTGTAGTTGAAAAAACAAAAATTCATTACTTTCTTAATTTTATATTTTTGTGTTGGGTAATTTACAATGCATCTTTCAATATTCTAACTTTAAGTCCTGATAATTAAATTAATTTTAGCTGAACCCATTTTTCTTCGATGTTCTGTACCTAAAATTTTCCCCTTACACTACAAAGATGAAATGTAAATTCCTAACTCCCGTGGCAACATGTTAAACTACTACTAGCTTGTTCGATTCGATTCGCAGAAATTACACATGCATTGTAAAGAATTCCCCCAAATTCTCCAATGTTTAAAAAATTAAACTAACAGGGGTCCACTTGTTTAATTATTAAAATAAAAACAAAATCCTATGTTAAGTCCCCAAAGCTGCCTCAAATTCTTAATTAAGCTTTTAAACTTTTATTGAAATAAATAAACTTATGAACTTAGTAATTTAAGTAATTTAACTCCTTTTCTTTATGGTGATGTTAAGTCCTCAAACTTGCCCCAAATTCTTAATTAAGTTTTTAAACTTTTATTGAAATAAATAAATTTCTAAACTTGGTAATTTAGGTAATTTAACTATTTTTCTTTATGGTAAATTTAATGTTTGTTTGTATCTCACTTGCACAAATAAGGTATTGATATGTTATTGCCTGCATGACAGGTATTGACCTTGTCCATACAAATAAGGTACAAACAAGTGTTAAATCTACTGCATGGAAAAGGGTTAAATTGCTCAAATTATCAAGTTTAGGAGCTTATTTGCTTCAATAAAAATCTAGGGACTTAATTGAGAATTTAAGGTAAGTTTGGGGACTTAACATTAAGGTTTGGCCTTAAACAAATACTGTATTAATCAAATTTAAATTAATTTAATAAGTTTTTGATGAAAAGTAGGGATTTCATTAATAAGCAAAGGTCACAAGAAACCCATGGAAGCCATACAAGTAGAGGCATCTAACCCCTACTATTAATAGGATAATTACAAATTGGAGGTCATCTACCATAAGTATGTCATAGGAGCACATGCAGAGCTATATATAATAGATAGTTATCCTTTCGAGCATCTAAAGTTTTTGTAATTGCATCAGACCAGAAGTCCTTCTTCAGTCCGCGTCTTCACTTCAGATTAACCTGCAAAGCCCTGAGGTGGGTTCTCGGGGTAGACACTCTGATGCTTAAGTTAGCAATAATCGAATCTACCTTTTTAGAATAATTAAGGAAGAGCTTTAGGTCAGTTTCAATTACCTTTCTGAGGTGGCCCCTGGAGGGTATTTATAAGCCTTAGTAAGGTGTCCACGTGGCTTGCTTAACAGGATAATTGGAGTGTGACGTGTCCGTTAAGGCAGTAAATCCGGGATCGGGAAACTGTGTGTGATAGATCAGGTGTGGACATGTCCACTGTATTTATCATGTAGCCATTTAACCAGGAAGTGTAGGATTTAACTTCACTTTGGCTATTAAGGAATTGTTACAGTACGTCCGCGGTTAAGGACCTCGGACCTATCCTTACACTATTCTCTCCTCGAAGTCATTCACTTGTGAATGATGTTGTTAGAGATAATGGGAGTAATGCATAAATAGATAAAAAGAGGAATGAAAATATTAAAGATGAGTTACAGAAGTTAAAAATTGGTAACTCAAATTCTTATATGGCCGTAACTAATTGTGGAATATGTGACATGGGGTCATTTTGGCCACTCCCAAAATAAAATGTGACCAGAATGATTGTGGCCGGAGCCATAGTGAAAATAATGACCGAAGTCAGTGTGGTCGGAGCTGTAGTAAAAAGTGATGACTGGAGTTATAGTGGCCGGAGTCGTAGTAAAAAGTGGTGACCAGAGTCATAGTGGCCGGAGCCGTAGTAAAAGGTAATGACTGGAGTCATAGTGGCCGAATCCGTAGTAAAAAGTAATAGCCGGAGTCATAGTGGCCGGAGCCGAAGCAAAATATGTGACACGGAGTGACTATGGTCGGAGCTGAAGTAAAATACTTGTAAAGTTGAAAAATTTTATTATGAAAGGAAACAAAAATACTGAACTGGGCTTAGTGGGGCCCGTTAAAAAAGTCTGACGTAGAGTTAGTGTGTGGCGTGATAGCTATTTGTCGAAAGACATGCATAATAAATACAGGTTGTAAAAAAGTAACTGCTACAGTTAAGCGGATGGGATGGAAAACGAACTATCGAATTCGAGAGATTTCCATTAAGGATTAACCGTCGAATTCGAAACGGTGTAACCGTGACCGTAAGATGAAATTAATCAAAGCCGTTGAGGCATATATTTCCTTTGGTAGATATAGTTATACTTCTGTAAAAAGACTTTTACTTTCTCCGTATTTGCTATCGAAGTGCTGCAAAAATCGCTACAGTGTTTGTATGACACATTTTCGAATTCAAAACTCGTTCTGCACTATCAAAATCAAGTAACTTATGAACTTCTATGATTCAAGTTCTAGTGGGAATTTTATTCTCCTTTCACCCTTTTTGATTTAGATTTAAGCCCTCTTAAAGAGGTTAGGATTAGGAGTGAGAGTGATATTGAGCGTGAGTTAGAGTTTTTTGAAGTTCCTGACTACATCCTTCCCCCTACTCTGTGTAGTGAAAGTTACGTGACTGAGGAGATGTCTTTTGAGGAAATGTTGAGCATTGGGGGGAGCGAGGAAGTAAGGATGCTGGAGTACAGCGATGTAAGTGTAGAGGGTGAGTCGTTTGGGTCTGAGCATACAGAGGGAGGGGTAGGTAGAAATGAAGTTGTTGAGGGTGGGGCAGAAGAGGTGCTTGTCAACATATTGGAAGTGGGAGATAGGAGTGATAAGTTTTACAATACTAGGGTAGACATTGTGTTTGAGGTAAAGGGGTATAAGTCTGAGCTCAAGACTAGGGATAGCCTGAGTTATCTCGTAGAAACTTATGAGATTTCCTCTAGAGTATTAATTAGGCCTACCGGAGTGAAAGAAAGGGCATGCTCTGCACCCCGGGATCACTAGATGCCAGTGTATGCCCATTATTTAGCAGCAGGGCTTAGGTTTCTGTTGTCTAATTTGTTGGTGTGGTTGTTATTGGAGTATAGTGTAGGTTTGACCCAACTATCTCCCAATGTGCTGAGAGTGATAATTGGGTTTATAGTATACTGTCGGGCTAGGGGGGTTAGGGTGCCAATAGTAAATATGTTTAAGCACTTTTTTGTGCTGAAGGCTGGGAGTAAAAAGGAGAAGGGGTGGTACTACTTTACACCTTTGTCGTCCAACAAAGAAAAGAGAAACCTGTTTAGTGCAGGGCTTTCCTCCATTAAGGGGTGGAAGGAAAATTTTTTCTTGATGACATAGAGTGGGAGAAGGGCGATGGGGAAGTAGAGGTTTTGTCTACCTGGAAGGCTAAAAGGGCCAACCAAAATAAGTATAGTTTAAATAGTGATGAGGAGGAAGAAGTAGAGAAGCTGGTGAGAAAGGAGGGTGACATAATAGATATTATGTTTCTCACCAGCTCGGATGTCATAGAAGCAGCTGAGCTTTATGAGCTGAGCTCAATGAGCGAAGGTGTGTTGGTATCTTGTGTAATGTGTGTAAGAGTTTAGTTTTGATTTGTGGATTTTAACAGAATTGTTGTTTTGCAGCTGAAATGGACAAATTTCTAGGTGTTGCTGGTGGGGTGGTATTCCTAAGAAGCCAAGGAAGAAGTCCAAGACTTTGGAGAAGGCTACAAGTGGGAAAAGAGATGGTAACACGGAGAAAGGGCAGATGTCAAGTACAAAAGCCCGAGCTGCAGAGGAGGTGGAGCTAAGGTCCAAAAGGAAGAGGGATAAAGTGGATCAAGCTCAAAAGAAAAAGAGGAAAGTGGTGGAGGAGAAGGTCAGGGGGGACGAGGTAGTGGAATTCGTACCTTGGCCTGTGCCTGTTGAGCTTTATCCAGACCTCAGAGAGACCGAGGTCATTGCCCCTAGTAAGGGTAAAGCATTTGTTCCCACGCCTTCTCTCCAGAGCAGCATTTTTGGGAACAAAAACTTCTCCGTGGCAAAGAATTTTATCAACGCCTATGTGCCTGAGGTGGATCATTGTAAAGCGAGGGAGGAAGCCTTGGTACATGGAGGGACCTCAGTCGTGAGGCATGCTCTGGAGGTAAGCTTGGTGATTACATCTGTTGTATGCTGTGTTTTTTGTTTTGTTCTGTTTTGTTTTTTTTTTTTTTTTTTTGATTGTTTTATGTTGGTGTGGCAGACTGCAACTTGGGTTAATGTGCTAGCCCAAGAAGAAATGGAGATCATGAAGGAGCGCAACAGCCTGCAGAGGGAAAGGGATGAGCTGTTGAAGAAGAACGGGGAAATGAAGAGGGAACTAGATGTAGTGGTACCAGCAGTGACAAGCTTGCAAGAGGAGAGAGATACATTGAAGACGGTTCTCTCATTCGAAGAGAAGAAAAGGAGAATGTGTGAAGAAGAGAATGAAGCACAAGAGGAGGAAATAAGAAGGATGAGAGAATCCGAGGTGGAACTCAAAAAAAATGTCCAACTGTTGGCCCACAACGGGATGGAGGAGCATATCAGCAACTTTATCAACTCTAGCTTGTTTGACAACATTGTCAATCTGTACCAACTGCCGATTGCAATCCTCACCTTCATTGATTGCAGAAAGAAGGTGAAAACTGAGTATCTTGAAGTGGATATTACCAAGATCACCTTTGGCAAACAAGAGGAAGGGGTGGAGGAGAATGGCGAAAGCATGTCAGTAGATTTTCGACCTCAGGTTAAGCTGAGGTGGGATCATGATGAAGAAGGACACGTCGGTTTTCCTCCTAACTTCGAGTTTATAGTAGTGGAGGAAGAGGAAGGAAAAGCAAAAGGGGCTGAAGTTGATGAAAGTCAATCATCTCCTCCCATGGAGGTGCATCCAGTTCCCTTTAAAGAAGAGCAGCCACCTCTCCCAGTAGAGCAGGAGCCACCCTAGCCACTTCCTCCAGCGGAATAGTTTAGGGATTTTTTTTTATTTATGTATTTAGGATTTGAACAATGATTAATGTACACGTTTTTTCATTTATTTAAAGAAAATCTTTTTTTTTTAAATTAGTTTGGTTATTTATTTTGTGCTTTTTTTAATTATTTTGTATTAACGTAAAGATTTAGATAAAGTAAATAACTTCGAATATGAACTAAGAAGAAGTAAATAACTTCAGACATGACCTGAGAAGAGGAAATCACTTCGGATGTGAAGTGAGATTCATTAATAAAAGTGCAGTTCAAGGAATAGAGTCTAGACAGATTGACCTCGGATATACAGAATAACAGATGAAATGAATCTCAGAAATGAAGAAGTAATACTTATAAAGAAGAATAAGACGAAGATCACTTGCAAGAAATTTATTAAGGGTAAAATTTCTTCAAGTTATTGACATTCCAGACTCTAGGAATTCGCTTCCTTTCAGCGTCTTGGAGGATATAGGCACCAGGATGCGGCACTTCAGCCACTGTGTAAGGGCCTTCCCAGTTCAGGGCCAGTTTGCCAAAACGAGTTTCCAACCCTGTTAGGCTAGCTTTTTTGAGAACAAGGTCTCCTACTTTAAATGTTTGAGGGCAGACTTGTTTGTTTTAGAAGTTGGCTAATTTCTGCTTGTATACTAGGATTCGAAGTAGTGCCTCTTCTCTAACTTTGGCGAGCAGATCTAGGTTTTCTTGAAGCAGTTGTCCAATTCGTCCTTCATTGAAATGGGTTACCCTGAAACTTAGGACTCCTATTTCAATAGGAATGACTGCTTCGGTACCAAAGGCCAAGTGATAGGGTGTTTCACCTATTTTATGAAATTATAGTCTTTAGAATATGCTTTACATATTATGCATATTTGATATAGGGTAAAGCCGCAGGTGAGAAAATAAAAATAAAATGAAAGTATCTTGGGTTGGAAATAGTAGCTGTGGCAGTTTAGCTCGTAGTTCTATATGCCCAAAGGACGTTGTTGAGCTCATCTGCCCACTTGGCCTTGTGCTGCTCCAACCTCGGTTTTATTCCTTCTAAGATAGCTTTATTAATAGATTCTACCATACCATTGGACTCCGGATGATAAACCGAGGTGAACTGTGGTTTGATCCCGTAACTGGAGTAGAAATCTTGGAAGGAGGAGCAGTTAAACTAAGTACCATTGTCGGCCACAATCTGGTTTAGAATCCCATATCTGCAGATAATCGAGCTAAAAACAAAGTCTTCAACCTTTTCTAGAGGTAAGGCTGGATAATAGCCGAGTTTCAACCCATTTCGTAAAATACTCAACTCCAACAATCAGATGGGTTACACCTACAACCCCTTTCGTGAATGGGCCCAAAAGATCAAGTCTCCACTGAGCAAAAAGCCACGGTGCTACCAAGTTCGTGAGCTCTTTTGCTAGTTGGTGAGTCAAATGTGCGAAGAATTGGCACTTGGGGCATCTCTGAACAAAGTGCGTAACATCTTTGTACATATTCGGCCAGTAATATCCCTGCCTAAGGACTTTGTGAGCCAAGGTTTTAGCACCAAATGTGGCTTCCACATACACCTTCATGCACCTCCCGAAGTGCGTATTCAACTTCGTAGGGATTTAAACACCGTAGAAGAGGGAGTGAGAAAGATCTCTTATAGAGGACCCCATTGACAAGTGTATATCGAGACGCTTTTTTCCTCAACCTCATAGCCTCTTGCTTGTCCTCAAGCATTGTCTTGTCTCATAAAAAGGAGATAATTGGATCAGTCCAGCTCGATGTATCCGGGTTTGTGCTGATCTCCATCATTCGTGGCTTCATGAAGCTTGGTTCATCTAAAACTTCCACGAAAATTGATCTGGAGCTTAAAGAGCTATCAGAAGCAAACTTAGAAAGTGAATCTGCCTATTCATTTTTAGTTCGGGGAATTTTGTTTAGACAAAATTTTTGGAATTTGCACTTCAACTCGGCCACCAGGGCTACATATTTCATCATCACAGGATCAACAACTTCATAGATTGAGTTGACTTGATTAACCACAAGCTGCGAGTCACTGTATACTTGTATTGGCATGACTTTCAACTCTAATGCTAGCTGCACACCAAGTAGTAGAGCTTCATACTCAGCCATGTTGTTTGTTACATCGAAGTTAAATTTCAGAGCATGCTCACTTCGGTATCCATCTGGGCCAATTAAGAAAGCACCAGCTCTTAAACCCTTGCTATTAGATGCTCTATCAACATATAAGGTCCAGTCGCTTGGCTCGAGGTTAGGAATTTAGTGACATGGGGTGCATTCCACAATGAAACCCGCTAGTGCTTGAGCTCGGATCGCAGACCTCTACTGAAATGTTATCTCGAATTCCCCCAGTTCTACTGCCCACTTAATTAACCTTCTGGAACACTCTGGCTTCTAAAGGATCTATTGAAGAGGTTGGTCTATGAGGACAATGATTGGATGCGACTGGAAGAATGGCCTCAGCTTTCTAGCCGAAGTGACAACTGCTAGTGTTGCTTTCTCAACAATAGGGTACCTCAGTTCTGCTCCGTGCAACATGCTACTAATATAATAAATTGGTTTTTGTTGTTTGCCTTCTTCTCTCACCAAAACTGAACTAATTGCTTCGTCTGAAATACCGAGGTATAAATAGAGAATTTCTCCATTTATGGCCTTAGTCAGTAGAGGTGGAGAGCTAAGATAAGACTTCAGCTCATCGAATGCAGCTTGGCATTCTTGGTTCCATTTAAACTTCTTCTGTTTGCTAGATTCATCCTTCTGGACTGCTAACCTCATGATCTTAAAGAATGGCAGGCACTTATCTACTGACTTCGATATGAATCTATGAAGAGCTGCCACCCTTCTAGTTAATCTCTGTATATCTTTCACCGACTTCAGCGGTTCCATCTCAGCAATTGCTCTAATCTTTTCTGGGTTGACCTCAATCCCTCTTCGAGAAACCATGAAGCCTAGAAATTTCTTGGACTCCACACCGAAGATGCATTTGGCTGGATTTAATCGCATCTTGTTCTTTCTGAGGTTGTGGAATGTTTCATCGAGATCAGCTAGATGGTCTTCTGCTTTTAGGCTCTTCAATACAATATCATCGACGTAAACCTTCAGATTCCTACCGATCTGAGTTCGAAAGACAATGGTTACCATTTTCTGGTAAGTGGCACTTGCGTTCTTTAAGCCAAAGGGCATCATGACATGATAGTAAATTTCATTACTTGCATAGAACGAGGTTTTCTCTTCATCTTTCGAAGCCATTGGCACCTAGTGGTAACCAGAATATGCATCCAAGAGACTTAATCTCCCATTTCCAAAAGTTGCTTCAACCAATTTGTCAATGCTTGGCATCAGATAGCAGTCTTTGGGACAAACTTGGTTGAGATTTGCGTACTTGATGCAATTCGCCATTTACCATTTGCCTTTTTGACCAACACCGGGTTAGCCACCCATTCACAGTAATCAACTCTTTTGACGAAACCAGCTTGTAAGAGCTTCTCTACCTCTTCTTTTATAACCTGAAGCCTCTCCCCCCCAAAGAGACGTTGCTTCTGGGCTACTGGTTTCTTTAGTAGATTAGTGTTGAGATACTGAGGTTGGGATCCCTGGCATGTCTGCTGAGGTCCAAGGGAAGACATCTTTGTTAGCTCGGAAGAAAGCTATTAAGTCTGCTCTTTCCTTTGGGTTCAACCGAGTTCCAATTTTTGTTTTCTTGTTTGGATCTCTGTCATCAATTTGCACCTCTTCTACGTCCTCAACTGGGGTAGCTCTGGTTTCGTCTTCAGGTCGATTGTCTACTATCTCAACTCTCGTTACCTGTTGACTATCATGAACTTGTTGAGGAATCGTTTTTGGTGTCTGATCTTTGCCTTTCTAAGGTCTTGTAACCGAGGTAATGTAGCAATGTCTAGTCACCTCCTAGTTACCCCGTAGTGTTGCTATCCCCATGAGAGTTGGGAACTTCATGCAAAGGTGAGATTGAGAGAGCACAGCTTGGATTTTGGTTAATGTGGGTCAACCAATAACAGCATTGAAAGAGAACACCATTTTGACAACTAGAAACCGAATTGAAGGGGTAACATAAGTTTGGCCACTCCCAAAAGCAACATTGAGAGTAAGGACTCCTTCTACTTGAACAGTTTGGTTGTTGAATCCATAGATGGGACCATGTGTCAACAAGGACACGTTGTACCTCACAGTTGTTAATCATGATGGAAGTGACTAAAGGATCATTGTGAGGTGTGACAACTGTATCAAAATCAACAGATGTGAAAGTGATTGGTTGATTTTTCCAGTCAACGTCATCAAACTTTCGTTTCTGGGCTCGGTTTTGATGCTTCACCTCTCTGAAATACAATTTTCTTTGCTTGGAGCTCAAATCCCTTGCTTCCAATCCTTCGGTGATCGTGTGTATAATTCTAGTTGGTGGTGGAAGCGGTGGTGGGGCTTGTTGATATCCCATTCCTTGGCTATTTCTTGCGTTACGAGATCTTTGCGATTGTGGCCCTTGTTCTCTGACAAACTTCGGTTGCTCGGATCTTTGGATGTATTCATTTAGCATTCCTTTTTGAGCTAAACTTTCCAACTCAAACCTCAGGCTATTACATTGCTCCGTTGTATGACCATGATCTTGATGAAAATCACAGTATCTAGTATGATCACATGTAGTAGTGGAACTTCTCATTGGTCATAGTCGCCTTAAGTCCATCTTATTCTTGATTTGCATGAATGGCTACGACCTCGATAGATTGAAAGGGGTCCAAGTAACTGGCGCTTTACTGATACTTTGCTGAGGGGGTAGTGAGTTCGACTTTCTGAATCTCACTGCAAAGGTTGACATTGGAACTCGGTTTTGCATTGTCTTCATTCGCTTTCTGCTTTGACCCTCGTCTCTCCAATCTGGATTTTGACTCTTGGGAAGAACTGGTTTCTGTGATAGGGCATATTCCTCAGCAGTTATGAATTTCAATGATCTGTCGTTGACTTCATTAAAAGTAGCAGCAGGATGCTTGATTAAGCTATCTCTAAATCTCTCATGTTGGAGACCTTGAATTACAATTGCAATTCCCACGGCTTGGTTGAATGAGCTGACTTCGAGGACTGCATCATTGAACTGACTCATGTAATTCTTCAAAGATTCTCCTTCCTTCTGTTTGACTCGCATCAGTTCAGAAGTGGTTTTCCTAATTAATCTTCTACTGGAAAACTTTGTGGCAAAAGCAGATGCCATTTCTGAATAGGAGCTGATAGGTCTTAGGGGCAAACTATAATACCATGTTCGAGCATTGTCACAGAGAGTGGAAGGAAAGATTTTGCACATCAATGCATCAAAAGCATTTTGAGCTTGCATACAGGAGTAGAAGGCATGGAGGTGATCATCTAGATCCTTCGTCCCATCATATGTCTCAAGTTGAGGTATCTTGAAGCTGATAGGGTAAGGTTCCAATTTGATGTTAATGTTCAGAGGATGACGTATGAAATCTGTGTTATGATGTGGAGGTGGGGCGCCTCGCTGCTCAGCTACCAGTTTTTCTAAACTGTCCAGACGTCGAGTGACATCATCAAGTAGAGGTTGTTGAGCTGGGGCTACGTGAGACTGAACCTGAGACTCATTGAGAGTAGGAGCATGCTAAACTAGTTGAGGATCTTATTGTTGAACAGGGGGTTGTTGAGTAGGGTTGAGTAGATTGATGAGAGGATCACCAGGATTATTCCGAGCTAGAAGCTGAGCCAAAACTAACTGGAAGACACCAAACTGTTGTTGCATGGCAGCAAGTTGAGCTGTAACTATGTCTTGATTAGCAATGGAAGTTAAGTTGTGAGCTGAGTTGTGAGGTTGGTTTTCATCTCCACCCTCTGCTCGGTCAACAGAAGGGAATAGATTCAAGATTGGAGGTGGGAGGTGAAGTGGAAGGTTGTTAGGGGGTTGACTTTGACCTTGTCCAAGAGGTTGAGCCTGATTTCCAGCTCAAACAGATCGAGTGTTGACCATGATGAGAGAGCAACAAGAAAGCTTTCAATTCGGATTCCCACAGACGGCGCCAATGTAATTGCACCAAACCAAAAGTCCTTCTTCAGTCTGCATCTTCACTTCGGATGAACCTGCAAAGCCCCGAGGTGGGTTCTTGGGGTAGACACTCTGATGCTTAAGTCAGCAATAATCGGATCTACCTTTTTAGAATAATTAAGGAGGAGCTTTATGTTGGTTTCAATTACCTTTCTAAGGTGGCCCCTAGGGGGTATTTATAGGCCTTAGTAAGGTGTCCATGTGGCTTGCTTAACAGGATAATCGGAGTGTGACGTGTCCTTTAAGACTGTAAATTCGGGACCGAGAAACTGTGTGTGATAGATCAGGTGTGAGCATGTCCATTGTATTTATCATGTAGCCATTTGATCGGGAAGTGTAGGATTTAACTTCACTTCGGCTATTAAGGACTTGTTACAATACGTCCGAGGTTAAGGACCTCAAACCTATCCTTAGAGTTTCTAACCTTATTTACATCACTAGATTCAAGCGACAACGATAATATTGAGTCATAACGTTTTGAACTCATCACAAGGTGCAAGCCAATGTTTGTACCAAGAGACTAGCCTAGAGGAGGATCAATGTGAATATTTTAAAACTCGACTTGGTGATGAACTTGTTTCTAGTTCAGGTTTGGTTCAAATGGTTCAATTACTTCTATTGGCCAATTTGACAAATCAACCAAAAAAGTTGACTTTTTAGTATTCTTTTAATATTTTACTTCTATATACTCACATTAGCATATTTTAGCTTAATTAAGTTTATTTTTAAAATTGATTAAAATATATTTAGGGTTTGTTGATATGGTGGTTTATGAGTAATGGTTAATAATTTTATCTAAACTACTGTAAGGTAGATGTTCGGTAAAATTGTTTATTTCTAACTAAATCCTTACAAACTAGGTTTTTTGTAAAATTTTTTATTTAAAGGTTTGAGACTAATGGATAGTAATTAGAGGAGAAAAGGTGTAGATAAGCATGCCAACTATGCAATTTTTTCCATTTAAAGACGCAAACTTTACTAATTTTTAATTAAGGTAACAAACTTTCAACTTTTTGTATTTAAAAATGCTAAATTCACCTTATTTCTATTTAAGGATGTCAACCTTGCATATTTTCTATTTAAGAATGCTAAATTTGCATTTGCCATGTCAACATTAACATCCAATTAGTTCTTAAATTTTTATAAAAAAAAAAAACAAAATTGATATCTTTTAAATAGAAAAGATTGAAAGTTTACATCCTTAATTAGAAATTGGCAAAATTCATATCTTTAAATAGAAAAAATTACAAAATTAAGGTGTAGATAAGCATGCCAACTATGCAATTTTTTCTATTTAAAGATGCAAACTTTACCGATTTTTAATTAAGGTAACAAACTTTTAAGTTTTTCTATTTAAGAATGCCAACTTTTCCTTATTTTTATTTTAAGATGTCAACCTTGCATATTTTCTATTTAAGAATGCTAAATTTGCATTTGCCATGTCAACATCACCATCCAATTAGTTCTTAAATAAAAAAAGAGAAGCAAAATATATATCTTTAAATATAAAAAATTAAAAAATTAATATCCTTATCTACACTTTTTCTCATAATTACAGTTCAAATCACTAATAGATTAAAATTTTTTAATTTTATTAACAAATTTATTTATTTTAATTTTTCAATTTTTTGCCATAGTTTTTTAGTTACTAATTATGTAATTGGTTTCAACCTTTTTTTTTTTCTCTTTAATAACTTTAAGTGATTATTATATTTTTGTTTTTATATAAACTCATCATAAAAAAATTTATATTAGTTTAATAAACAAAATTTGTTAATTAGATTAAATAATCAAAAGTTTTTATTTATTTATTTAAAATAATATAACTTTTTCTTGGTAAAAAATATAAATGAGTGTGTGATTTACATTTTTATATTTTATTTACTTATTTATTTTCTTCATATTATTTTTATAAAATTAATAATTTTAGTAATAGAAAATTTAAAAGGAAATATACATTTAAGAAAATGATTGATATACCCCTTGATTTAATACACTTTTCGATACCCTCCTAATTCAATTATTAAAATATAATATAAATATAACTAGTTTTGTTAGTTCTTACATGCTATATGCTAGCTAACAGTCAGCTAATAGTCAACTAACAGAACTAACAAAATGTTATAAGTGAGGGTTATTTTTTTTAATTCTAATAGGTGAGGGGCTAAAAGTGTCCTGGTATAAGGTGAGGAATTAAAACTTACAAATTTAATAAGGTAAAGTGCTAAAAGTAAACTTTTGTCGTTGAATCAGAAGGTATACTAATTCGTGTCTCCATACTTAATTGCTTTTAACAAGCCATTTTTAGTCATTTAATATCAAATAATAACTGTTAACTATTACATAATCAAACGATTATATCAATCAAAATTCATTATCTATCATTCACTATCCGTCATTTATCATTCATTATCCATTAATCGCTACCCACTTTTCACTAAATTTTAATCGTTATTTCAAATACTCTTATATTTGTTAATTAAAGTAATATTTAATTTTAAATTGATTTTATTTTTAGAATTTCTTACATTTTCAAAATTTCTTAATGTCTAATTAATTTCAAATTAATTTCATTTTTTAAATTATTGAAAATAACTAATATATTTTCCTTTATTAATCATCTAAATTACTGATGTCATATTAATTACAAAATTACTTAGTTATAATTTCAAAATTGATTTCATTAGTTTCATTGACTAAAATAATTATTTAATTTCAAATTGATTTTATTTCTACAATTGATTGCATACTAAAAATTGATTAAATTTGATTTTAATAAATTTAAAATTATTAATTTTATTTATAATACAAACCTTTTATAAAAATAATATTAATAAATGTGGTGGGTTCTCTTGGAAAAAGGCTTCATGTGTTGCTTAAAGGAGAAGTGTTAGAATCCTCCTAATGCCATTTATTTACCATTTGCTTCAAAATTCAAAAACATTAAAAACCAAGAAAAATTGGTTGATTCTTACTAAGTTTGTCAAAGTCTTGACCACTTTTGGTTTAATGTGTTCATTCAACTTGAAATTAAGATAGGTTTGAGTCAAACCAATCGAATTGGCCAGATTGGTTTGATTTTTAAAACCATGATCAATGCTCTCCATAGGAGACACCAAATTAAAAAGAACTTTTGAGGCCCTAACTTCCCTAAGTTCACTTGAATCACCCTTTCTCTTTCCCTTCAAATCTTTCTTCTCATTTAGGGGGACAGAAAGCCTTGGTTAAGCCTTTTCCACATTGCTCTTCCATTCTTTGAAAATCTTCTTCTTTTCCTTCCCATATTCATAGCTTGCCACAAAGACACATTCATCAATTGAAGGCTCAAATCACCATTAGTTTCCTATGTTTTGCTTAATCTCATCTTCACTTCCTTACTTTGAATTGGCTTGGACTGCACCCTTGCTTCGCCCTATTACCTCCCAATTCATTAACTTAATCCATTGGTGCTTATCATCACTCTTTCTGCTTTTAGCATGTGAAAGGGAACCAGGAGGTAAGGAGAAATTGAATTTTGCCACCTCAATTAGCCTTAGACATCTTCTGATTCTACTCTTAACCAAGGGTCATATTGTTTTTCTATTTCCCACTATCTTGCTTTACTCAAAAATTGATTTCACAATCATGCTCTATATGTCCCATACAACCACAGATATAGCAAAATTCAAGTAGTTGCACAAATTAATGTTCAACTTTCTAACCTCAAATTCAATAATCTTGGAATTCTTGAAATGTCATAGTGGTTTATCAATCAGTAAACTAATCCTTACACTTAGAGATTTCTTCTAGTTTTCATCCACCTTTTCACTGTGCAATCCCATGGAAAGATCATGGAAATGAACTCAAAAAGGGTTCTTAGTTAAGACATATTGCTCTAGTATCAATGATGAATCAAAATTTTTAAGGATATCTAAAGAGTTAATGAAGTTCTATGTGGATTTCGCATCACTTTATAAACATTAAAACAAGTAGCCAATTGGAAAAGAAAAGTGTTTTTACCAATTTTGCTAATTTGAACCCATTCTTAAGTTTTCAAGATTGTACCGTGGCATTTTGAAAACCTATTAGATTTATGCTCATTCTAGTTAAAACCATACCTACTAAGCAATATCCTTATATCTGTGGATTTGTTTAATTTGTTCCGCTCGTGAGTAAGGGAAAGCTCTACCCTTGTCATCCTTGGTCATTTAAATTTTCCCAATACAAATCCAAGTTCCTCCATAACACTGTTTAACCCACAGCCTTTCAAATCCGTCAAAACTAGCACTATCCTGTGGTAGTCCTCAACTCATAAACACAAGGACAACAATCACACATAAAGAAACCAAACCAACCAGCCAAGGATAGCAGCACATCCCCAAACATACACTTGCAAAATTGGATCCTCTACCCAAAAAGGTATAATGAATTGTACTAAGAACAAACGCATGATAAGTGAATCTCAATCCCTAACAACTTGCCTAACCTCAGTCTAAAGCCCACCTTTAAACCCTGAACCACAAGAGATAAGAAAGAAAAAAATCAACATCAACATCCTAGGGTTACTGCCAGCACTTAAAAAGAAAAGAGATGACGACTTCTACTAGAGAAAAGAAAAGAAAAGAAAAGAAAAACATCTTTAAACCAGTGTTTTAAGGCCTAGCCCGACTGATTGAACCGGTTCAACATGACCCTGACTTGAAAACGGGCCGATTGCATGCCTTAGTCTATTTTGAGAGTTGGCCTGCCCAAACCTATATGAGCCATTCCACCCGCTCCAACCGCCTAACCCGTGTAACCAACCGGGTTGAATCTATCATCTCTTTGATTCACTTTTTTTTTTAATGTAATTTATCAATTTTATCCCTTATTTTTATTATTATTACATTAAAAATTTTAAACTTAAACTAAGATTAAAATAAAAAAACCCTAATAAAAGGTAAAAAATGATAAAGTAAAAAACAAAAACTATTTTGCAAAAACAAAGTAGAAGAATTAGATTTAGAGGTCGAAACTGACAGACATCCCTTCCTTACTCCACCTCCATCAACGGCTCACATCCTCAATCCTTATCTCCTCTGTCATGCCGAACAGACCCACAGAAGTAGCAAAGCAAGCTCACACGGTCACACCTTTGCAGCTGTCTAACCTCTTCATCTCCTCCATTGGACAAAAGCAATAAGCAACTTGATCTCCACTGCTCACCCAGCACCTCATGACCCTCTTCGAACTCTCCTTCATTTCCTTGGCTCTTAACCGCTGCCTTTTCCTTTGCCACCTCTTGATCTTCGATCTCATTTATTGAGTCACTTCTCTAGCCCTCCCTTAACCTCAACAGCTGCACCATCTTCCTCAATGAAAGTGAGTACTTTGTCTCTAGTTTTGAACATGCCCACCCCAAAATTAAAGCTTACGACGTTCAGTACACCACCAAAACCCAGATAGACCATGACTATCAGTAGGTACAAAACCTCCTCTTCTTTCATTACAAGCTCGCCATCAAAGATATGCCCAACGAGATGATATCAGATTGTTCCAAAATAATATATCAAAGTTTGGATGTGATCTAAAGAGCGATGATGGTGCAATTAGATCAAATCTTGGTTTGTACAAACAAAGTTGACTAAATCTAGGTTTGAATGGCTGCCCTGTCACCTCCATGCTTGAATTTGGTTTTTGTGATAGGTGGATTTCATTGAACTAAAAATATTTTTTTAGTTGACCAATTGGAACAGTAGGTTAAATCAATTGAATTGATTGAACTAGACGTGGTGGCCAAAACGGGTCAACCACTGGGTCGGGTCTTAAAACATTGCCTCAAACCTTAACCCTAATAAAGAGAGGGAGAGAGAGGTGCAACAGATTTTAGTGGATAACTTTTTGAATTTAAATATTATGTAATTAATTTGATAGGTTAAATTAAAGAGAAAACAAAGACCACATTCCTTTGTCCTTTCTTGCTATTTGATTCTCTATAGCTAATAGAAGGCAAAAAAACATTGGAGAATGATTAAGTTATGGATTGGAACTAATTTAATAAATTTATCCACAAAACGGTTAAATTTAATAAATAATTTAATAATTATGTACTTTTATCTATTTAATTTTAAAACAATTTGCTCAAAAGTGATCTTTAGACAATCAATTCTATATCAAAATGATTTTATTTAACATACATTAACTAGATTAAAGGAATTATTTCTAGCTATTGACATGGCGCCATCTAATTTACATGCCATGTGGCCAAAAATAAGGACGAAGCCCCATAGGATAACCTACCCCCCTAAACTTTTGAAAAATATCAAATATAGTAGGTATATTTTTCTTTTTGATAAAATTTTGTTTTTGAAGTTTGAACTATAGGGATCATTCAAATATAAAAAAAAGGTATTTAGGACTTAGTTAAAGAGATCATTTTTCTCTATGTGACTAATTATTAAGATTTAGTTATATTGATGTAATTTATATAAATTTTTACTTTATATATTTAGAGTAGTGATTCACTTATACATAAGTATTACATATCACGCTTATATAAAATTTCAACCAACCATCTTTCCACTTTCAATAGTTAATATTTATTCACATTTATTAAATATAATTATTGAGATTGAAGAGATGAATAATTGAGATTTTCTATAAGTGTGATATGTAAAATCTGTGTATAAGTGGATCATAATTTTCTCTCTCTCTCTCTCTCTCTATATATATATATATTGCATGGTTCATTTTCTATTAAAAGCAAAGGTCAAATCTATTTTTTTTATACAGTGTCTTTCGAATTTAAAATTGGTTTGATATATGTAACTCTAAAAAAAAAAGTATATTCTTATACTACATATTTGTAAGTCTTAAATTATACACTATTCAAAAAAGTTAAATATATGAAATTTATTTAAAATTTTAGAATTTTGCTTCCCTAACTCAAATTTGCTCCCTACTTTCCCAAAAATTTATTTTAACATGTAAACACACATGTATACTTCATTAAAAGTATTTAAGCAATTATATCTACATTTTTTTCTTTGAAACACTTTTTTGTAAATGTTAAACACTTTTGTTTTTCTATATGGAAATTTTAACAATTTAATTAAATGAGTAGTTCATAAAATATTAAAATCTTTGTCCATTGTAGTGATTAACTAAGATGATAATTTCAATTTACATTAATCAATATTCTAATTTTAATTTACATTAATTAATAGTACCATTTTAATTTTATTATTTCTTAAAAAACTTAATTTCGTTATTAAATTGCACATTTTTTTTTATTAATTTGGGTGAAAAGGGTATTTTAACCCATGTACTTTTCGATATTATTGAGATTAACCATGCAACTTTTTTTTTTTTTTTTTTGTAATATTTGAACTCCGTCACTTATATATTGAAATAAAATGACACACATACTTTTCGGTTGAAATAAATTAGCCAAAATCTAACATATGACATCATGAAACGTCAGTTTATCATGAAACCCATTTTCTGTCGTTAATACATTGTTGATTTGGCACTAATTTGGTGCATGTGAGACCCGACTTTGTGACTTGGATTGATGTGGATTACTTTTTTGCTGACATGGCCCTTGATTTGCTGACATGGCCCTTTTATTTCCCCAAAAACTCACCCACTCCAAAGCTTAAAATTGGGAATCTAGGTTTTTGTCCTCTGTGAAATCGATTTTGGCCTTCAAAACTCACCCATCGCTACCCTCGCCTTCCACGTCTTCATCACCCACATTTCCAAATCCCTCAAGAATGGCCTCTCCCAAAGTCGTCCTTGGGCCGAACTCGCCGATTGCTCTGCCTTTTCCAAACCGAAGTCGTTTGCTAAGGCTACAATTCGTGTCCGCAGGAATTATTTGTATTTTCGCATCAACTATTTGGCAATCATTGGCGTGATCCTTGCCTTTTCGCTACTTTCGCATCCAATTTCCCTGCTGCTCTTGTTGTGTCTTCTAGCTTTTGGGCTCTTCCTTTACCTCTTCCGCCCGTCTGATCAACCACTGGTTCTCTTCGGCTGCACCTTCTTCGGCCACGAGACGCTTGGCATCCTCATCATTTTTAGCATCTTCGTTGTCTTCCTCACTAGTGTCGGGAGTCTCCTCATCTCTATTCTCTTGGTAGGAGTTGGTCTCGTCTGCACTCACAATGCCTTCAGGGTCCCCAAAGATCTCTTCCTGGACGAGCAACAACCAGCAGCTACCACTCCTGTTGTTGCCGCACATGTTTGAATGTGTATGAGGGTCGTCAACGATGTTGTGTCAATATCTTCTTCGCATTCCCGAATTAATAGATTTTCATCCACATTTGCAACGTCATTGACGACCCTTATACACATACTCAACATTCCCATGATCCAAGAACACCTTCGATCTTACAGAAACAAATCGTGAATGCGAAGAAGATATTGACATTTTGAAGGCCAAAATCGATTTCACAGAGGACAAAGACCTAAATTCCCAATTTTAAGCTTTGGAGCGGGTGAGTTTTTGGGGAAATAAAAGGGGCCATGTCATCAGAAAAGTAATCCACATCAACCCATGTCACGAAGTCGGGTCCCACATGTGCCAAATCAGCACTAAATTAGCAATGTATTAACAGTAAAAAATGGGTTTCACAGTAAACTAACATTTCATGACATCATACGTTAGATTTTGGCTAATTTATTTCAACCGAAAAGTATGTGTGTTAATTTATTTCAATATATTGCGGGGTTAATCTCAACAATATCAAAAAGTACATGGGTTAAAATACCCTTTTGCCCATTAATTTGTATAGAAAAACACAAAGTTTTAATTTTATTTTCAACACAAATAATGTGTGCACAGTTTTAATCTAGTGATTAATAAAATTGAAATCAATTTTTTTAATAATTAATGAGAAAAAATGCATTTTATATATTCTTAAGCACATATTAGAAAAATTCTTCATTAATTAGTTCTAATAAAGCATTTATTATTTTGATAAATTATGTATTGTGCGGTAATTTAATTAAATTGAGTTTTGAAAGGGTTTAATTGTTAAAAATATTAATCTAAGAGTTCAATTAAAAATTTGGTAAAAAATGGTTCGATTTAGAAATGGTTAAAAGTTCACATATTAAAAGAGCATTTTTTTTTGTCATGTAAGTGGCATATTAGGTGGCACAATGTCAATAGCCAATTTGGATATCCGATAGTCATAGATAATAGGTGTTGGTAAAATAGACTATTTTGATATAAAATTTATAATTTATGTATTACTTTGAAAGAAAAAATTATTTTTAAACTAAATTAAAATATACCACATAATTAATAAACCATTTATTACATTTAATGTAATGGGTGTAGAGCAACTCTGGTTAAAAAAACCCGAAATCGACGGTATTGTAATTAGAGGACTCAGAATGGACTCGAACAAATAAATTCTCTTTTCTTTGCTTTATCTCCTTCTCCATTTCTGTTTCTTCTTCTTCTTCTACATTTTTTAGAGTTAGCAAGTTTAAAATTGGATTTATACTCTTGCATTGAAACTAAGAATCTTTTGGTCAAAGTTTCGAAGGTAATATTAGTCAATCTTTAATTTTCCCCTAAAATAAAAGAATTTATTAGGATTAGGGGTCCCTGAATTGTTTCTCTTTTTGGCTCTCCTTTGACCAATACTAGAATTAATATTACTCAATAAATTTTTTTTCGTCCCTGATTTCTGGCAAAAGGAATTGAGCAATGAACCCAAATAACAACCAGATTATATTAAATAGTTATACCACAATCATGGCATTGGCAAATGCACTAAAATGTGGGTCCAAAAAATATATCATATCTTATATTCAACTGGATAATAGCTCAGAAAAATGTTCTTGAAAAATCATGTTAATGATGGCTATCAAAACCTAAGACTTTGCTTTAACCACGTTTTGTCGTCTAATTAAAAACGGTAACTTTTAGTGCTAAGATATTGCGATAATATGCATAGAACCTGGATTCGATTTCATGATCAAAACTTGAAGACATTGTTAATGGACAATCCATTGCCCAAATTAAAGGTTATAAAATTACACAATTGAAAGTTATATGATGAAATGAAAGGAAATTTATAATAATGAATCACTATGATTGCTAGGAAGGATAAGAGTATATTTTGAGGTCCCACGGCAATGAAGAATTGGCTTTATCTTTTTCTTTTTTTGGAGAACATATTTATGATTCAAATGATTTTATACGTGTAGGAAAGGAATAGGTACTCTGACACTGTACTAGAGTATTCACAATTTCTACTACGTAAAGAAAAAATGCATTGATATCCCATGAAATCAAGAACTGCATCAGAACAGCTGGAAATCAAAGTGATCATTTGTGGTATCCTTGACCCAATTTGCACTCAACGATTAAGTAGAATTTTATTAAATTAATTTTACATTTACAGTACAAAGATTCTAGTAGCAATTTTTTTAATGCTTTGTTGAAGTTCATGAAGAAGAAAGGAAAAATCTAAAAATATTAGAAAAAATAGTTTTTTTACCCATGCCCTTAGGGAGCATTAATTACAACATTTTCTTATTAATTTATAGAGGAAAAAACAAAAAGAAGAAAGTTCATTTTCAATACCAATGACATGTACAATTTTAGTTAGGCAATTGATAGAATTGAAGTTAGACTTTTATTTTTTAAAAAAGGGAACAGATAAATGATATGAATTTTGTTATTTTTTTACTTAAAAATGTGAATTTTATCCGTTTTCAAATAAAATAATAAATTTTAAACAATTTCCTATTTAAAAGTGTCAATTTTATGTTTTTTTTATTTAAAAATTAATTGAATAGTTAAAAAAGTCATTTGCCTATCACTATCACAATCTAATTAGTAATTAAATTGAGAAAGTGCAAAGTTGATATCTTTAAGTAAAAAAAATTGAAAGTTTACCACCTTATTTACAAATTAAAAAAATTCACATCCTTAAATTAAAAGAAAAAAAAAAGCTTTGTATTTTTATTTGCACATTTTTTCTAACTTTTATTTTTATAGTAATAATTATTAAAAATTGTGTGATTAATATACCTTTAACTTAAAAAAAAAAAAATAATGATAATACTTTTATAAACTAAAATGTTTTTCTCTATCTTATTTGCTAATGTAATCAAAAGTTAATTCATAATCATAAGTTGCTCCTCTCATAGATCCTAGGTGCAGAGGCGCATCCCTACAATTTCATTTCTCTTGGTTTCTTCTCTAATTCTCTTTGTTTCGCTTGATTTCTTCTCCAATTTTTGTCGTCCTGCTGTTGTACAGGATTGTCTGCCATGGTATGGGTGCTCCCTCCCTTGAGTAGGTGTTGCTTTGCTTCCTCCTCTTGTAAAAGTTCATCCATCCTTGCGATGTCGAGGGTTTGTTCGCAGGTATGGGCAGGGCTCTTAATTAGAAAAGTAGACTGGTTCGTCACCTAATTGGGTCAAACTCGAGCTCAGTCTCAAGCTCAACAAAAAAATTGAACTCATGTATACATGCCAACTTGTAAGCTACTCAGGACTTGCGAATATTCAATTTAGTATTAAAATTTAGGGATTAGTGTTTATTCGTCTTACCTCCAAAAAATGAAGAGGAAAAAAGATAAAAAAACACTCTAATTCATACTTTATAAATAGGATATTCTAGTTTTTTTCAATAGGTATTTATTAAAATGACTTAGTTTTTGAATAATATTCCTCTTGAACTTTACAAAGTAAGGCAGATAATCACTATTCTTTAAAAATTATATTAATATTTTTATTTCATATAATAATTTGAAATTAATAATTATTAGTATTGTTGAAATTGCTATATCTATTTCTGTATATATCATGTTTGATAAATTTTTTGTTTTTTAAACTACTTTGGATTAAGGGCTTTTTTTAGTAAAATAATCAAAATATAACAGACAAAGGATAACGAATAATGTAGTAAGTAACAGATAATAAATAGTGGGTAATGTTTATGGGTAGTAAATTACAATTAGAAAAAAGTGGTTAACAATGCAAAAAGCAGGTAAAGAGTAGTGGATAACATATTGACATAACTAATAGGAGCTAGAATTAACAATTATGATGGTAACAAAAAATTGAATAATTAAGAAAAGATAAATTTGTTAACAATATTAAAAAATTTCAATTCACTAGTGGTTTGGGAAAAAGCTACCTTCCAATTTGCTACTAATCATAGATCGCAAACTACTATATTAAATATTTTATCAAACATTTATTCTGTAATAGTTTAAGAAACAAAAAAATTTATAAAACATTACAATATAGCAGTTTAAATAAAATTACTAACTATTAATTCCAAACTATTATACTAAATGAGCCTTAAGTGTTTAGTAAAATTTTTTACATAACTGTTTGAGATTTGTAATTAGCGATTAGAGCCCAGTCAAGGTAGCCTTTTCTTCCCCAAATTGCTAGCACAATGAGATATTGAAATTTCGGGTTAAATGCTAGTTTGTTCCCAAACTTTGAACTTTGAAGATTTCTGGCCCTTAAGTGTATTCAACACTTTTTTTCATTCCTCAACTATATAAATTATACTCTCTTTTTTTTTTTTTGTTGTCCTTCTATCAGTTAAATTAAACTTGTTTATTCAATCTGCCCAAAGTAGGATTCTTTTAATATTTTTTATGAGGTGAAAATTACACATCACAAGTTTAATGGGACTTTAAGAGTTTATTTGGTATAACAGTTAAAGTTCAGTGGATAACATGTAATGGGTAGTAGATAGCAGATAGCAGATAGTAAAAAGTGGATAGTAGATAATAAATAGTGGATTCGATTAATATAACTGTTTGATTATACAATATTTAGCTGTTGCTATTCAAATTAAATAACTAATAAGGACATGTTTAAAAACAATTAAGTATATATTTTTATATTTTTTATTATTAAAATTATTAATTTTATAAAAAGAGAATAGGGTGTTCTAATGATTAAAAGAAGAGTTATTTAAAAATTACATCGTTTTAATAAATTCCTATTAAAAAATATTTAAATATCCCATTTTTCAAACATGAATTGGAGTGTTTTTGGTCATTTCTCGTGGTGTTTTATTGAAACAAAATAGTTTTAGAGTAATTTTTCTCTTAATCTTTAAGAGGTAATGTGAATAAGGGTTAATCCCTTATAGAAATAATAAATAAATAAATAAATTATAGTAGTGTAGTAATGTACTAATTTTTATTTTTAATAAAGAGAAAATTATATTAGTTTTAAATAAAGTATAAAAAAAACTATAATCTTTTCATC